CAAACCACTTCTGGATCATCTGCCAAGAACGTATATGAACAGGTCCCAGTCCGAGAAAAGGATGGAAGGATCCTGTTCATATGGACCTGTCGTCAGACAGAACACTAAATAATAATAATATCATGAAGAGGAGGGAAAATCAGAGAAAGCGTGTTCAGTTTTGTAAGTGTGTACGTTTTCCTAAATACACAAATGTTTGTGCTCTCGGGAGAGAGATTCTGGTGTGGATGTTGCTGTCTGTAATGTGCCTTCCTTTGATTTTTCTTGTAACGTGATGCTTTACTGATGTATAGAAATACATTTTTCACGTCGACTGCCTTCATTTTTCGCAATTGTCGCCCAAACTCTGCAATCTTTTCGTGGGGACAACTCCAGTCCCTTCGTTTTGTGAATGCCCAGAGATCCAAATTTACGACACGGTTTAATCATTCTTAAAATTGAATTACTGTTTACTCACGTTTATCATTATATAACATTTATAACAATCTCAAATTATTTTTCTACAAATTGTGGAACGTATCTTAATTTATAATACACAAGCCCATGAGAAGATCTTCCCCTCGTTTCAACCAAATCTCCAGGAACACAACTCCGTCGTACTATGGGGCGAGTCCGTAACATTCCTTCGCAAACGCCTTACACAGCCTTCAGGCTTATCCAATAGCATCTGATAACAATACAGGCAATAATGATGAGACAATTAATTTTTCGTCATTGTATCATTTAGAATTAACAATGCGTGCAGAAATCCTTTGTTTTGAGTACGTAATGACTGTTGTTGAAGATTCATTGTTGACATCACATTGTTGTCGGGTCTTCATCGAAAGACGCAACTTTAGAACGTTACCACACAGACAGAAGTTGTGCGTTGTTAGAATAGCAAACTATTTTTAAACTCCATTAGTTCTCCTTGCGCCTACTTATCTTAATATTTGCCAGTGGCATTGTCACGTTCTTGCTCTCAGCTAATAATAAGTCTCACTTGTCATTCCTAGTCGGAATAGATGTCCAGATGTTATTGTTCCTTACAATTCTTGACATCCACTTTAATATATTATTATTATTCCATCTATTCACCAATTTACGGAGTATTTATTTCTATGTACCCGAGACAAACCTTGTTCCTGAGGTACAGCAACTATTTCCGAAATACATTTTGTTTATTATTATTATTGTTATTAAGTTTCAACAGTGTCCGTTTCTTATTCTTGGGTTAAACATAATCGACTTTTAGTACTTTTTGGATTGACTAGAATTGGCATAAATATTATCCGATTAAGCCCAATGCTGTTGCTGAATTACAATAAGTTATAAGTTACAAATAAGTCACAAGTAAGAAAGTTTAGCTGACTGTCTCTGAATTCTGAACAACACTTTCTCACTGAATTTTTCATGATCTTTCTCTTTTTCTCCATTCAATCTTTGAATTCTCAGGATAAATATGTTACTACAAGGTGTTTCTACGTCGTTTTGAATAAATAATTTATAAATTTACCTAATCAAAGCGACGTAGTAAATAATTAACATTTTTTGCGACTGAACAAATAAGAAATATGGCAAACTGTGGAAGTTTGTAAGTGTTTTCAAAAACATAAACGATGACCAGTTAACTTTTGTCACCCTACACAAAATATGACTGTGAATGATGTAGTCTGCAGTTCCTCGGAAGCAGATTAAACCCATCTCGGGCTTGTAGGATTTGAGGTTTTCACGGCGCCCTGATGATGGAGGCAGCAATGACCTCTGAAACGTTGGTTAACATCGACCAGACTACACAGCGCAATAACCCAGAAGACAGAAATCTTCATACTCATCGCCCTGATGACGGAGGCAGTATGACCTCTGAAACGTTGGTTAACATCGACCAGACTACACAGCGCAATAACCCAGAAGACAGAAATCTTCATACTCATCGCCCTGATGACGGAGGCAGTATGACCTCTGAAACGTTGGTTAACATCGACCAGACTACACAGCGCAATAACCCAGAAGACAGAAATCTTCATACTCATCGCCCTGATGACGGAGGCAGTATGACCTCTGAAACGTTGGTTAACATCGACCAGACTACACGGCGCAACAACCAAGAAGACAGTCTTCGTATCTCGGGTTCGCTTCATTGACATCACGACTCGAAGCAAGTCAATGATTGCGTCTTACGTAGGCTAGGTTTCATAAGAGAAACATGACGTAAAGACAAATTTTTTTCTGATAACGTAACTTAGTAGCAGCACGACATGATATCTTGAGTGGATTCGGAGTAATTGAGAGTTTTTCACATTCATAACCTTGGCACCAGCAATTTCGCGACTCCGAAGAGAGAATTTCAGTTTGCATTGGATAGCGGGCTAGATGTGTCCCAGAGCCAGTCTGGACCGTATACTAAAGATAAATCTCTTTCTGCTGGATGTAGCGTATATAAGATATGCGTGCTGTATACATTTTGCTTATGAAGCATTATAAATACTCTGTACATATGAGAAAGACTTTCGAAAATTGACAGACCCGACCTCTTTTCAGAGAGGGCTTCCGTCGAGGAACATGACAGAAAATGTGGAGACAGACTGTAGAATCTGCTCATAAGCCCCCCAAAAAAGGGGCTTGACACCAAGACGTTGGCTGGCCGTCAGTCGTAAAGAGCGAGTTCCCATTCCTTCGCCCCGAGATTCCACGAACCCGGAAGCTCTGGCCGACAGCCTTGAGGCGGTTTCGTCTCAGCTGGTGAACGACTCGTAGGACCAGACAGTGATTGAGATGGAAAATGAGATGATGCATCTGTACGAGTATGCTCCTGTAAGTGAAACTGTGTTAACCAGCCCCATCAGAGGCCCTACAGGCCATCAGGGAATTTAAGTTTGGGAAAGCTATAGACCCAGACGGCGTTCCGAACAATGTCCTGAAATATTCATCAAAGCGAGCGGAAACCATCCAGAAGTAGTCTTCAGCAGACAGTGCAAGGCGCTTCCAAAAGCCCAGAAGAGTTAAGCTTCTCGAAGAGACACAACATCAACAACGTATCTTAGGTAACTCCTGATAAACAGTTAATCTAGACAGCACACACCAATAAAGCAGGAAAAAAGCTGTTTAAATACTGGACATGTTTGGTATTCTCTTTGACAGGAGAAATGCCGTGTTCGTCAGAAATGATGTGTTCCTTTACAAGCAGCGAGCAGTGAACTTCCAGAACGGACAAGCATAATTAATTGACGATGATTGATGTTATGATCTCTAAAAACGCACTCTGGTGGCGTTGGTAATAAATTCACGATGATTTTGGGATTCCACTCTTCGAAGACCATATCAGACGAACAAATTGGACAAATGTTGGATGCCAATGCAACATATGATTTTGAGCAGACGTTGTTAGTAAAATAAACAAAGATGCATTTCCATAACGAAGGAGCCACATGTAGCGAAATTTGCGGATTGACGTTTTCCAAAATATTTTTTGTGAGACTAAAGAAGTACTTACTGAAACTCAAAAATCTCTATGTAGCATCGTATTAGATAGGAAACCTTCTTCTTCTTGTTATTACGCCGTATTTTTGCGAAAGGTTGGCGATACAAATGGCCAGCGTAGATCGTAAGCCATTAAGATAATTTGGAAAAAATAGTACAGTTGAAATTCCGTTTCCTTTCTGTGCCGCAGTGCGGAAACCGTTCGGGCTGTTACAGCTGCACTTTCCGATACTCAATACTACGTCGCTTCGGAGTCATTCTTCCCACGCCGTAGTTTGATTCTGGTGAAACTGTTGCCTTCCACCAGTGCTAGATTTTGGTCCACCCCGAGTATTTCTTCGGTACCACCCTTATCTGGGAGGCTTTCCCCGAACCACCACCTGGGGAGGCGCCCGATGGAGGATCTAGCAAACCCCACAAGGGGATAAATTTAAAATAAAGGAATTCTACATAAATTAATTTATTTTACGTAGAAGGAAATACTTGTAAATGGATAAGATTAGAACATTATAATGTTCTAGAACCTAATTTGTGAGAGGCGATGCCATGAATAAAAATATCAGATCTAAAACTTCTTGACGATGGTGAAGAGTCAAGTGAATAAAACTTTTCTTGGATATTATCCATCGTCTAGTAAATATGAAACGTAAAACGACGTTTCGGAGATGGGACTTTATCTCCGTCTTCAGGTTCCTACACAGTTGGGCCCACTAGATAGAGCTAATCCCTATCTCCGGACCTGAATAAAAATTTACTTGGATATTATCCATCGTCTAGTAAATATAAAACGTAAAACGACGTTTCGGAGATGGGACTCTATCTCCGTCTTCAGGTTCCTACACAGTTGGGCCCACTAGATAGAGCTAATCCCTATCTCCGAAACGTCGTTTTACGTTTTATATTTACTAGACGATGGATAATATCCAAAAATTTTATTCAATTGAGATTCTCATGTACATGAACATTTCGACCGTGGCTCTCAGGATGATGAAGCCAATGGTCAGTAGCGTTTCAGAGGAACGCATTGCCTCCATGTTTAGAGTTAAGTGACCTGCACAAACCATAAGGCGCCATAACCCAGAAGACCACGGAATTGTTTGTTGCAGTACTTGCGAGAGAGATTCAAGATAGACGTGCCTCATCGCTTCAAGGTGCACAATTTCATGTCGCCCACTTTCTGCGACCACTGTGGTTCCCTTCTTTACGGTCTCTTCCGTCAGGGGCTGAAATGCGAAGGTGAGTTACTTACCTGTTTGTACGCTTCCGCGGTAGAAAATAGTGCTAGAACTGTCGTTAGACTCTCGCTGTCGATCGACCTTGTTTTATTCCACGTTTTATAAATGTCAATATTAAATAAAGTAATATTCGTCATGAATATTAGTATAATTAGCTTTTATAAACAAATTTTATTTATTGTTTTCGAATACCTATTTATTTTATTATTCTTATAAATTATTTAAATCTTGTCCGTCTAATCACAATAAATTCTTATTAAATATTAAAATATTACAATAATTAACATTTGAAATATTTAAAATATTAAATGATGTTCTTTATCGAAATATTCGATTTACATTAGACCATCATTTTTCA